TATGTATTTATCCCCTATGTACCCAGACTTCGTGGACACCCTGTATATATACATGATAGTGCATCTGAAGTTTCCAATATACTGATTTCTAGGTACGCTCAACGGCTTCTTCATCCCTTGTACATGTCAACTGATTATACTGTTGGCTTATAACAGCTAATGCATCTGCCCCGATTAACCCTTGAAAAAATCCTGAGTATTTTCATCCGACTTTAACGTAATCTTAAACAGAGGAAAATGAAAGTACCAACAACAGCATCCTCCTATCTTTCAGGAAAACGAACAAGTTTCAGCGGCTAATACCTTCTGGGATTCGCCACATATCGTACCGGTGACCTTGCTGTCAGCCACATGTCTCGGAACATCATCCTTCGACAAACGAACGGAGCTGTTGGCGATCCCAACAAACTGTAAACCCTATCAGAAACTGGACTTCGACCTTCACCTACTGACCGATAAGGACAGAACGTCTGATTCTGGTCAAGGGGGCAGCGATGAGGAGCCCCACGAAGGCCTAAACATCAAACCAATCGTCAAGATTGTACAGTGTAAGAAATAATGTCTACTAACATACGTACAGTAATATACTACGCTACAGATGTAATTTATCAACACGTGTGACAATTGCCTAACAGCCAGTGCTTTCTTTTAGTAGTTCCTCAAAATCAGGAGATCAATCTCAAAAACCAAGAAGATGGACCTTGGCTGAAGGCCACAGAATCCTGTACAGTCGACGGCAATGGTGAACTCAGGAAAAGGACGTTTGAAGAAAACTCTACTTTGGATAAGGGATGTCGTGAGGCCCTGGAGTACCCGTTCGAATTACAGGGCTCAAACCAAATCCCCGACATAATAAACCATCACGGAATCTCCAGCATCAAGATGAGTCACTTGAATCAAAAAAATGCTGACTAATCGTCCCCTCCCCCCTCCCCGACTTAACACCTCTAACCCCATATTCTCGCTAGTGATTTTTTTTACCAAAAATCAGGTGGGGTCTGGTCAGCTGTTGGCTTCAGTTCTGCGCGACTCTGCGAAAGAGAATCTCGACGGCCAAGATTCATGTACCAACTAAAAATGCTTCGGTGAAACTGTACAAATATTTTTTAAATGTGGTTGATCACTGTACTAAGACCCCTCCCCCCGCAACGTTCTACTGATTTGTGTCTCATTTTAATTGCAAAAATAATAATTACTAAGTACGCTTTGGCATACTGTACATTTTTCCCGGGGTTTCAGACAGGACGCAAATTCGGAATACGGAGATGAAGAACGGCGTTGAAGACGAGACCGCCGGAATAAACGCTAAGAGAGAAGGATTATGTTTCATAAAAGGTGAACTAAAGTCTAAAATGTTGCTTAACCTATGACGACCACCATTTCCATGGGCAGATAACATATAGGATATAGACAACGTCGGGGTCAACAATGTAGGATGCGAAGTAGTTCGG